ATTAAAGGTAAGTTTTGCTTTAGTTCTGAGGGAAGTTGTATATTCTCTTGCATTTTAGCACTCTGCCAGCATAACCTGAGACAATCCAAGCCAAAAGGCTAGTGTCATGTTAGGGTTCTCTCCTAATTTAACTTCATATGGACCAGCCCCCAAAATACCTAAAATTACTGCTCCCTATCCCACTTAGTGCAAGTCAAATACCTCCCATTTCCGATGTTCCTGGTCACAAATTAAATACAACTAAATTACAGAGAGCCCTTTACACACACACACACACACACACACACACACACAACTACAAAAGAATAGATTCCAGACCCTAGTGGGACTTATTTTCATTTAATGAGGGCTGAAGCAGCATTGTATGAGGATTTTACCGGGGAGCTCGGAATGGCTAGCTCCACCGCGTTCACATCTCAGCTCAAGGTACCTCGTGCCTGCCTGTCGGTCCTCTGCCTATGATCTTCATACTATTGTCAGTATCTAAAATCAACAACCTATTTCTTATTTTGTTTATTATATATCTCCATCCTCCCACATGAATGTAAACATTTTGAACTCAATTATTCATTATTTATTAAATGAATTAATAAATAAATGCATGCACGATTTGCTTCTGCAGTTTTCCTCCTGGGTTCTGTATTTCTCTGTAGAATTCTCTCTAGAAATTATGAAATATCTGGATATTTCCTAACTTTAGCAGTGATGGGACAAGTAGTTTCCACTGCTACTTAATGGTGTATGTCCCCACCATCCCCTCCTAACATGAGTTATTTATTCATAGAGTTAACAGTTAACCCAAGTCAAGTTTATGTAAGCACAATCTGGAAAGACACTTCCTAGTTTAAGTGAAATTTGTTTTTTCCCTGCTAGGAGACACATTCTGCAGAGAAACACAACTGTGTTATACCCTTTGAAAGATGAAGAGAGAAGAGACACAAGTGCATCGGCTCCTATTTCCAGAAAAGAGGCACAAAATCAAAGCAGGAGACTACCCTCAAGAGAACTTAATCTATCAGGTGGAAGTTCAAATTGTTTAAAAAAGAAAATATTTCTTTTTCACCAAGGTGAATTATTATTCTCTCTGTCATGATGAGGTCTATGAAGCTGTGATGGGTAATTATACAGAGAAAAATCACCAGCTGTTGTCTATTTGGAAGGAGGCTAAAAGAGGAAGAAACAAATGTCCTCAAATAGATTGTGGGTTCCTTGAGGGTAAGGGCTACATATCATATTTTTGGGGTCCCCCATGGGTGGATAGGCTAGTGTGTTGTGACATAAGGTAATATTAAATATGCATTAAATTGTGTGTTGAGGGATTGGGCTGTATTTCCATATAAGAAAGACTTTGCTGACTGGGGAGTTACCTAAAGCTAGGAATTGGGTTCCTGAGAGAGGCCAGAAATTTTTTCTTTAAATTTCTTTTCAAAAGAGAATAAACTCGAATGCAGTTATCCTGATAAATGATTTTTCTTCCAAATATAACAAAACACATACATTTTTATATACATGACTTTTCTCAGTCCCTCCAAAATGTGACCTTCCCTTACATTATCATATTTAACAAGAACAAGCGTTAGTAGAGCTAGTTTTTAATAAAGGGCAATCTTCCTTTCACTCACTGCAATTCAAAAATGTCATGATTTTATGGAAAAGTCACTGGAGTCTAGAACCATAAATCGCATTAAAGTGATACAGCCAAAATCCTGGTTTTGCGGAAGAGTAAACCTTGTCCTGGAGAGAAAAGGTTGAGAGGTCTCACAGCCTCTCTCTCTCTTTTTTAAAGAGGAAAAAGGGACAGAAGGAAAGGGGCAAAGTCTCATAAAGACAGAGAATTTAAAAGTCATAAGTAATCAGAGAAAATTTCAGAAATGTTTGATTATCACATTTTAAGATGCTTATTTCCTGAATGCCCCTTTGAAGAACTAATTTTATTTGAAGGCTTATTTGCAAATATAAGGTATTCTATTTGAAGCACGGCTTATTATAAACAAGTATCTTAAGATACTTTTTTTTCCAACAGAATCTTTTTTAATATAAAACAAAGATAAAACACACCTCAACCCTGCAATCTGCCAGCATGCCTTGCTTCTACAAGATGCATGCTTTGTGAGTCAGAAAAAGAAATATACTTTACTTTGTATCTCAGTACACACATACAGATGTAAGTTTCAAGAAACCATTCTCACACTTGTCACAGGAGATGAACTCTGTATTTTCTTTTTTACTCCACTTCAGTTTTAAAATACAGCTTGTGCCCTCTCAACTGGTTTCAGAACCCAGTAATGGCCTCACGGCATTTCTAAAAACACTGCCAAGCCCTCTTACCAGACCATCCCCAGGTTAATACCCACCCTCCAAGGATCTACAACACTGTATCTACATAGAAATATTTTGTTAGTGATAAGACAGCAGTAGAGTTAAATTTCTGTAAATGCCAAGTTCTTCTAACAGGTGCAAACCCCTTTGGTGTTCAGTAAACGTCTGTGGCTGACAGAGCCAATTTTAAACTCTTGAGAGACCAGAGACCCTCATCTTTGATCCTGCTTCTCCTCTGTCGTCTTCCCTGAAATCTTCTGCCTGCAGAGAACTCTCCTTTTTTTTTTTCCCCTCCAATATTGTCTCTAATACACTTAGCACGTTAATTCATCTGGGTCTTTTATGCTTATACCATACACAGTTTAAGGTTTATAATACACTCATGCCATTTTCTCACTAATTCTTAGACTTTTGCTTTGTCTCTCTTATGGTTAAGGGTTGTGTCCCACACACCTTCAGTAGCTTTATGGAACCAGGCCCCATCCTGCTCTCAGAATACCAGTTGTCAGTCCGTGATACAGGATGCCCTAAGATTAACCCCCAACAGAAAAATCTCCCTGTGCTGGCTGGATCACACAATGCAGAGGACAGCAATACCCTCACTTATCAAAAACTCTCCCTGATTCATTATTGCCATGATTCGGGCTACAACAGGGAAATGTTCAATGCTTAGCCCCCAGAAGTTGACCATAGGAGATACTCAAACAACTTTAAAAATTCTCTGCTTGTTTGCATCGAAAAAGGGTAATTAATGTTATGTAAGAGAATTGTTAAAGGAGGGCATGGTCAGGTGTTAGCTGGTCAGCCACAGATGGGAAGCAGGGAGCCGTTGAACCAAGGACGATGTCAAAGCACAGAGTGAATACCCATATCTACGTCCAGCATTCAGATTTCTTGTATAGGTCTTGTTTGTATTACTGTGTGTGTGTGTGCGTGTGTGTGTTCCTTTGCAAGATTCCTCTCCCAGTTGCCCATCTACCTTTCCTCGTCACGTCTTCTACTGCTAAATACACCATTCCTACTTAGATCCTCAGAATCAAGGGACTGTAGAATATTCCCCAGCAGGGGTGGTGCTGTAGGGTTTGAATGCATGGTGAGTCACACACAGCCCTCTGGGTCACCAGACTGGAGGTGGCAAGGAAGGGGGGTGTGGTTATGGAGGGGAGAAAGAGCCTGGAAAAACAAAACCCCTAATAAGGTCTGGTTGGAGAGCCCATCTGCCCCTGGACTCTCTCTTCCCCTGAAAACCCCCCATCACATGAATTAAGGGTCCCTGAAGTCCCACTAAGATGGGAAATGGGAGTTCAAAATAGGACAGAAACACACGCACCTTTTGCCTATAGTGTAATGTCTTCAGGGAAGGGATCAGAGAACAGGTGGGTGCAGGTTGCAGTCCCATTCACAGGGTAACTCTGACGTCTGAGTGTTTAGGAGAAACTCGGACTGCCCCGGAAAGTGTGCTGTGTTGCTGTCTGGCTTTCTTCCCGTCCTATTTGGTTGCTGTTGCCATTATTTCTTTGCTGAGTACATAATGTTGGTAACCTGGACGGTCCACGGCCACCTTGCAGTCCCGGGACACGGCGGGATGTTGCTTTCTTAGCCCAAAGTCCGTCGAACAGAGTTAGGAAAAAAAGTATCCGCTGCTGCCTTGCCCTATCCAGCGGTGGGCTAAAGGTTGTTGAGGGCTGTGCGTCCTTGGAACCAACTTGCCCACCTTCCAGAGCGCTCCCGGCAGCAGCCGGAGTAGCGCCCTGCCTGGAATCGGATTGTCCCGGGCTCCTCCTGGCATCAAAGGCTTCGAGGGTGGGCGTAGAGGCGCTCGAGACCCCCGTCTTCCTCACTTATTCACTGTGTTCACTCCCGGTAGGCTACTGTGCCCACCAGCAGCCCCTACATGAAGGGCGCTGTTCCCCCCAATCCAGCCTGCGCTTTCAGCCCCAGGCAGCTGCCCAAGTCTGACCGCTCTACCAGCACTTTCCGGACCCCCATGGCCCCTCTTCTTACCTCCGGACTCCCAGCTCCTTCTCTTGCTTCCTCTCAGGACCCCAGTTCCTAGCCAACCGCTTTCCCACCCATCTCTATCCCACTTTCACCACCGCGCCCACTAGGGACCTTCTCTCCACAGGCTCCCAGGTGGTGCTGTCCCCCGAGTAGTGGCTGAAGGAGCCAGGGTGGCACGATCTCTAGGGGTAGGTTCTTTGGGAAACTCACCCCTCCGGAATGTGCATCCTCTGGGGAGGGGGACAAGGTTCCCAGAAAGCTATCTCCGGGGACGGACGAATCCCCCAGCCCAGACTGTTGGGTCTCCCCACCCATTCTCCCCCTCCCCAGAGTCTAACGGGTCCCTCTCCTGCTTCCCGTGTTTACGCCGCGTTTTACTCTCGGGGGCTCGTGGGGTGAGCCCCAGCTGGCACTCGAGCAAGGCAGCCGCGGCGGGCGCAGCCCCACTCGCGGTACAGGGCGAGAGGGGCTGGTGCGGAGGCGCTCAGAGCTCTCCTGCTTCCCCTCCCTCTCCAGGGACAGGAGCGGGCTGACGGGGGCGGGGGGCTGGCGCTCATCAATTCCGCTGCCACCTCCTCTGCTGCCTGGGGGGTGGAGAGGGGGGGGGGGGGGGGGGGGGGGGAGGGCGGGGGAGCGGACGAGGATAAGACTTAAGTCGGGAGAAGTTTGCGCACAGCGCACAGCTGGGAAGGAAGGCGCCGGGAAGGTGAGCCTCCTGGACTTTGGGGAGGTTGGAATCAAGCATGGGGATAAAGCAGATGCCTTTTAGCTTATAACACAAGCTGGGGTTAGGTATAAACTATCACTTAAGGCAGAATTAAAGTGTCAGGAAATCAGGAGGGAGGCAGGAGAAGGAACGCTCCGGACTAACGGAGTTTTCTCTCCACTAGAACGGCCAGCCGCCCAGACACTGGGTGGGCTGCGCCGCGCCGCTCGCGGACCTTCCTGGGTTGGAGAGGTGAGCACACTCCGCACCTCACCCAGCGGCTGCCATCTCCTACTCAGGAGATGCGCACTGGAGCCTGAGTTCCTGAGTCTTTGGAGCCACGACCTGCGAATGCCCTTCGCTTCTACTGAGCCATGTCGGGCAGCCCAGTGAGATTACTCCAGGTAAGGAGGGTCTCGGAATGAGTGGGACTTAAAGCTTTGGGATGTTCTCCGGGATGGTTAACAGTGGAGATGCACCAGATATCTTGTTTTTTGATTGCAAAACTGCAGTTTGATTGTAATGTTTGAGGTTCTGATTAGGGTCAGCTTAGTCGCAGTCGCCTCACCTTACCCTTGATTATAGGAAAGCTAATTGTCCTGGGAGGGTGCTAAAACTTAGGGTTTCATACTGAAGAGTCCTGGGATTTTGTGTGAGTTTTACTATGCTGTTAATATCAATGTTCCCACAAAAGTTTTATTCTCCAACTTACTGGGTATGGAAATTACGGGGCTGAAAGTTGTGGATTTTTTCCAAAAGGTGTTTATTAACTAACAAACAGATAATATCAGCGTCTATGTGATGTGTCATTGTTGTTCTTGATATTGGAAATGAATACAGTGGTGAATGGAGTTGCTTGTTAAGTCATGTTTTACAGAGAATTATTTTCCAACAATCATTTATGCATAGCAGCCATTCTTCACACCTATTAGGAAAAACATGTTGTGTGCATAGTTTCCAAAAGGGTACTCTTTTTTCATGATGTTCTTTCCAAGCCTGGGTGAAAGACATCAAGAAAAGCTCTAACATATTAGTTCTTCTTCCCAAAACATTCATTTTCCTTGCGGTCCAAGGAAGTCCATTCAAAGTAAAAAATCAACAATCCAATTAGATTTTTAACCCATTATTCAGGCTTTATTTTGCAGATCTACTTAAGAAAAGCTCTGTATGAAAGCTTGAACCTAATATTACATAGTACATGCAAGACTAGAAGGTAGGGTTCTACTGCCGATCTTCAGGAGACCCTGACGGCCATAGTTAACCTGAACCAAAGCATCTGTTCAAGGCTATTTGTTAAAATTATTGGGTGATTGAAAGTGAAATGTTCAAAATAAACCAAAGTGTGACCATGTGGTTTCTGAAACTAATCTTTAAATAGCAGAGTGTCCAAGTTTGAGTGTGTCTTAAATGATAATAGAAAAGCAAATAGTTCATACATTTGGGCAACCTTGACTTACCCTTAGAGACAAAGTAAGAATGCTTTTAGTGTTGTGGGATTTATAAAGTATCATTTGTAATAGTATATTGCTAGCCTACTATGTGACCAGTTGGAGCCCAGCTTTAAAAAGTCAAAATTGCTGGTTTTCTACACTAGCATTATGAGAGGATCTAAGGTAATTAGATTTGCAAAACATCTTTGCAGTTTGTCAGTATTCTCAGTGGGCACTCATTTCTACTCAATATTTTAACATAGCTCAAAACCTCCATCAGCCGGGGTTTGCTTTGTTTCCATGCCTCTAATCTACAGTTAATTTCAGAAACTGTAGCCACAAGAATAATGGTAAGTCATTGTCAAATACTCTAAGATTATTAATTGACCACAGAAACATACCCAATATAGTAAACATGAAATTCTTATTATAACTTATTCATAGGAACACATAAATAATCTTAGAGTTGTATTGTTTCATGATGCTTGGAGTTGAAGAAAACTCTGTGCTTGGTGAGCTTCTCAGATTCTTTCAATGTTGACATGAATGAAGATATTATCTACTGTTGGTTTTTATTAGAGTAAAAATGAAATGGAAATAAGAGACTGGTGATATTTTCAATGATAACCTAAACCAGTGTTCTCAACTCGGGCTGCAAATTAGAATCAATGGGAGAGCTTTAAAAAAAAAAAAAGGATGCCCAGACCCTACCCCAAACCAATTAAATCAGGTTATCTGAGGAAGGGGTTTACATTTTGATGCTTTTTTATGTGATTGTAATGTGCAGCCATGTTGGGAACCACTGACCGAGGTGATTCCTCTCAGGTTTGGTAGAGTCAGTTAATGTTGGAGGGTGTTGGAACATAAATACCGTATGTTCTATTGTCGGTCTAATTTTTTTTAATATTTATAACTTGATATCCCAATTAGAAGAAAGAGATTGTTTTTCCTTGATGGTAGATGTTTAAACCATAACAGTTTCCGGTAAAAACATTTTTTTTTTTCTAAAAAACAAGCTATTGTGTTTGAAGCTTATCTGACTGTCCAGAAAATGGTTTAGTAAATTAAATCTAGTTTTAAGAGCTGTTGAAAACAATGTTTTATGAAACACAGAATTTGGTCTCATTTTACTAATACCTACATGACGTGTAATGTGCAAATATATACCCTTTTGAAGGGAGAGAAGAAGAAAATACAACTATGCTCCTCGGCACACCAAATAACATATCCTGGGTGCCGACTATGTTCTAGTATTCTCACATAAATTATTTTCTTTAAAGCTTACAGTAGCCTTGTGAGGTACTAGCTTTTATTTTTATTTTACATATGAGGAAATTAAGGACCCATTAGGTTAATGAATTTGCTCAAAGCTGCAAATTGAGTAAATCTAATATGTATTTGAACCCTGGTCTTCGTATTCTAAGTTCAATGCTCTAATAAAATATGTTTTATATACATACATTATATATATATATATATATATATATATACACACATACATATTTAATTTAAAGACTGCATTTTTCACAAAACAGTATTGATTAAGAGTACGGCTTGATTCTGACACGGCTCTGCTTGGGTTTCATGCCCGACTCTATAACCTTCTAAGAAGCTGTATGGTTTTGGGCAAGTAATCTAACCTCTGAATGTCTTAATTTCCTTTATAAAATGGGGTTTTTCTAATGAGAATTAATGAATTAATAATTGTAAATCACTTTGGGTAGGTTCCTGGTGCAGAGTAGGTTCTATGTAAGTGTTATATTTTTTAAATGTCATTTATTCAAAAAATATTTTTGATTATTTGTGATATGCCAAGCATTGCATTAAGCCTGAAGATACATAGACAAATAAGTTGTGTCCCTATCCTCAAGGAATTGGTCAATAGAGAATCGCCAATACATAAGTAATATTCCACTCAGTTATGAGATTTTATTCAATATTAATTATAATTAGAAGCGTTATTTTGTGTGACAACTATGTGCTTTTCAATGTTAGTATGATCTTCCAGAGGTCTATATGAGTATTACAAAATCAAACCAAGTGATAATATTTTGTGTTGTCACCATGGTATTAACTTGTTTTCAATTCTATCAAAACACAGAAAATAATATTAACATATGTTTCTGGCTTCACTTTATGAGTCTAGAAAACTGGTAATATGGAAAGGTTTTAGGTCTTTAAATATTTATTTTAGAAGTAAAGAATTGAGAGGGGAAGAATTGATAGAAAATGTCATCAGAATCTATTCCTCAATATTAATAAGTGCAATTTTCTTGAATTGTTTTTCCAAAAAGTGTGTTGTCTGATTGGAGTGTAGTTTAGTTTAGTTTTTTTTTGTTAAGAAAAAAATTTTAGGGTAGGAAGAATGGCTCAAAGCGTACAGTTAAAGGTCTCTAATACGGGCCGGCTGGGCCAGACATTGGAGCTGGCTGTACTTCTCCCACTGTGCCTGCGGCTGCGTGCCACTGACCTGTACTGCACGATACCCCAGGGTACCTCCAGTTACCTGAGGTATAAGATTATGTCTTTGTTCAAATGAAAAGCCACTCTTTATTAAAAGTAGCGTATGAATTGGTATTCTTTGTAAAGGAATAACACAAATACGCTAAACCCAAGGAGCTATTTCTCAAAGAAATTAAGTACCTGGCTCCATGAAATATTTTCTGCTTTTGTAATCAATATGTAACCATTCTATTTCATTAAAATTTCTATTTGAAAATGTATATCTTTTTTCTCTGTTATTAAGTCTCAAGGCTACTCCCAATTTTTCCCATGGATGCCGCATTTTATTCTTCCTAGTTTCACTGCCACCCCTCTCGTTTAAGCTTGCATTACCTTTAACAAAATGCTTAAATATTCTCCTAATATTTAGCCACATTTAGTCTCTCTGTGATGCATTCAGTGTTACACAACACCGTCAGACTAAGCTCCCATTTTGTCACTCTCAACTCATAATTATTCAGTGATTGCCCCACTCGTCAGCCTAGCATTGAAAAGGTTTCATGATGTAATCTCATTTTATCTTTCCTATCCAAGTCAAGTAGAAAACCGCAACAGCTCCCTAATTTCAGTTCTGAAGCCATAGTGATGCCACAAAAATTGACTCCAGTCCATCCTTCATTTTCAGCCCTTATGCCAACAACTTGTTTATATTCCATTGCCTCAGAATTGGGGTATGTTGGGGGAGAACTCTTTACATCAGTGGTTCAGTTGCAGAGCTGCTTTGCTTTGGTTTTGATTTCTTTCTGCAGCTCCATTCCCAGACCCTGCCTTTTATTTATCTGGTAGTTCAGAATTTGGCATTTCAAATCTTACCTTCCTCTGTCCCTCAGAATGTATTCATCATTCCCCGGTAACACATCTAACAAATTATCATCCTTATAGTTTCATTCATATTTAAAAACTCAGTAAATATTTACTAAATGCCTGTTGCATCCGAGTCAGGGCATATTGTGACAAAGCCTAGTTCCTGGCTTCATGGGCGCGGGAGGAGACAGACAAACCAACAGACAATTACAAACCCGTGTGGTAAGTACTCCAGTAGAGAAATGCCATGAGCGCTTTGGAAGCAGGGAGGAACAGCACCGAGCTGGACATCAAGGAAGCTTTCTGAGGGAGGTGACCCTAAAGGGGACATGATTCAGCATTTAAATGACAAAACAGAATGAACCAGATAAGGAGGGGAAGAGATGAGTTGTGTTAGAGGCAGGATACCAGACTCTAAAAAAGCCCTGGAGGCTTGAAACAACATGGTGATTTGGGGGAAGCCTCAGGTATCCAGAGGTACCCTGGAGGTACCATACGACGCAGGGCAACAGCATGGAGCCGAAGGCACAGAAGCAGACAGCACCAATGAGATATAGTCTTGCCGAGCCAGCCCCGTATTAGAGCAATGAGGCTTCCTTTTAATTTGTATCCATCCACCTTTCATTCTAATATACTTCCTATCTTTCAACCAGACTGATCTACCAGAA